CCCTGGCGTCCTCCGGCTGGCTGCTTGTGGTCTGCTCCGCTTCCGCGTCCCTGCACTGGTCTGCTCCTCCTCCACGTCCCTGCACTGGTCTGCTCCTCCTTCGCGTCCCTGCACTGGTCCGCTCCCCCTCCGCGTCCCTGCACCTGCTGTGGTTCGCATATCTCCACTGCTCTCCTCTGCGGGCTCTTCTGCGGGCTGCTCCGCGGGGCCCTCCGCGGGTTTCTGTGCTGCTCGTTCCTCGTGGCCAGCTGCCGCACGCAGAAGGTCTGGCGGTGCCGTGCGTGTCCCTGCCTCGATTGGCGGTGCCGCGTTGTCCCGTTGCTTTTCCCAAGTCTCCTGGCATGTGAGTACAGGGAGTGTGCTGACCGCTGACAGATTAATCCCGGAGTTCTGGGCTGCAGGCGATTGGTTTTTGCCCCGCGCACTTGACTGCAGGCGCCAGTTTTTTCGCCCCGTGCTTGGTCTGCAGGCTCCGTTTCACACGTGTTGAGCTAACTGAGGGGCAATGCATATTAAATGGCATCAATCTCTATCGTCTGAGGGATATACGAGGAGCTATGTGCATTATTCAGATTCATGTTCTGCCACTTGCAGTAAAACCATGCATTTAAATAGCTAGGTCGCTGGTATTTAATTAGGTAACTAACTGCAGCTGTCGCATTTTGAAAGTGCAGCAGAAAGAAAAAGGGCCCAACATGACTCTGCAATGGGTGTGAAGTGGTGTTGGAGCTATGAACGCATGGATCAGTGATCATTCATGCGTATCTGCCATAACCAAAGCAGCAGATGGCTCCAGGGGACGTCTGTTATTCACATGGGATGTTTTCGGATTCGGGCCGGTTTTTCTTTTTCTTTTCCTCAGGCTGTTAAACAACCATGGGCATGGTTCTCTGACCGCCGCTGCTGCCGGTCCCCGCTGCCGTTCCTACTGATGCCTGATCCCGCCGCCACTGTTCCTGCTGCCGCTCCTGCTGCTGCCTGTTCCTGCTGCCGCTCCTGCTGCTGTCTGTCCCTGCTGCCTGCTTCTGCTGCTTCATACTGCTACCGCTACTGCTGCTACTGCTGCTGCTTCATACTGCTACTACTGCCGTGCTGCTGCTGCTTCATGTACTTCGTCATCTCTCTTCACTTCGCTTCTCTTACGAAACACTAAACAGCTACATCATATTCTAATGCCGTGGCTTTGATACAGGGTTTTTGCCGTTATATCTACGGATGCTGCAGCTGCTGCTGCCGCGGCTGATACAGGTCGTTGCCGTTATTATCTGAGGTTACTGCTGCTGGCGCTGCTGCTACTGCTACTGCTACTGCTGCAACCCACTCTCTCAGAAGCTTATCCTGCTTCTAACGGATGCAGCCCGGCTGAGTATGCCGCGCTGCGCTGGACTCGCACCTATGCTCCCAGGGTCGCTTCGGCGGTCATGCTTCATCTCTTTACTTAATCTTCTGTTTCTATCAGATGCAGCTGGCCGAGTAGCTGCGCTGAGCCGTCAACCGGACTCCTAATCAAAGGCATCCATACCTGTATTCTTCGCTCTTCTGCTCGCAGGCTCCCCATCATGCTGCCCGTCCGGCAGCGGCTCTGAGCGGCACTGAACTCCGGCTCTTCTTCCAAGTACACGTCTGCCCTCCTCGCAGCATCTTCCTGCTCGCCTTCTATGGCTTCTCTGCATAAGCGTTTCACTACTGCTCACTCACCCTTCAGGCGGTCCGAGACACGGTTTTTCCCGACCATCCTACCATCCTGATTATCTACTCTCCAACCCAAGATTCTAGGCGTAAGGGCGCCTGCGACTTCATGGCCCTCTCCGATATGTCTCTGCCCCTACAGGTCTCCGCTTCTACACGGCCGTGCCCCTTCCGTGGGTTTTGGGGGTTTTTTCCAGGACCATCGGGTTGCCGGGCCGTGGCCGCTACTTTCCACCGGAGCATCTCCTCTGCCCTACACGAGATATTCCCAGTGGTCGTGGCCTGCGCGCGGCGGAATCACACCTGGCAGAGAAAGAGGATCTCTGTCATGCGCGATAATCTCGACTTCCAGGAGTTCCGACGCCTCTGCCCTTCTGCCAACCCATCACCATGCCAGATCCCCTGCATGGAATCCCTCGCCCTGGACTAGTCCCTCCGTCTCTTCACCTCCTCATCTCCTCCGCTGCATCCTACATGAAGATGGGTCTCTCACCTTCCACACTGAAATCATACAGTTTCGCGTGGAAAGTCTACTCCAGCTTCTGTCACACCCACTGGGCGGCACGGTGGCTGAGTGGATAGCACTCTCGCCTCTCAGCAAGAAGGTCCTGGGTTCGAATCCCGGTCGGACCAGGGCCTTTCTGAGTGGAGTTTGCATGTTCTCCCCGTGTCTGCGTAGGTTTCCTCCGGGTACTCCGGTTTCCCCTACCACTAAAAATATGTCCAATAGTTCTAGCATGCGCCTCCTACTGGCGACCCCGCTCCCATCTCTGTGTGGAGTGAGAGACAAAGGCCCAAAAATTAACAATTGTAAACCGCTTGAGACTCAGATCTGTAGTGAAAAGGCGGTTATAAATAAAGATTACTTACTTACTACCCACTGCATTCCACTCATTCCGCCCTCTGCTGTCACGATCCATGATGCATTACACTCGCCTCCGCTCTCGGAAAGGAGATCTCAACGGACCATTATTTCTTACCCCCGATAACCTCCCTATGTCCTCCAACTGGTTCAGAGCCCAACTCAGGTCCGTACTTCTGCTTTGTAACATGTCTCCCCATCTCTACACAGCCCACTCCCTTCGGATAGGCGCCGCCACGCGCGCCGCGTCACTGGGGCTCCCCTATTCCGCCCTCCAGCAGCTGGGCCGCTGGTCATCATCGGCCCTCTCCTCATACATCAGGCCTGACACCTCTTCCATCCTGGCAGCCCAGCGGCTTCTGGCATCTTCTTAAAAGGCTCGCTAAACTTCCTGGTGGCGGCAGCAGCTGAGGATCCGCAAGTTTGGTCACAATAGATAGCGGTCACAGAATATAGTGATAGCGGTCACAGTATATAGCAAAAAATGGTTAGCGGTCACAGTATATAGCGATAGCGGTCACAGTATATAGCGATAGCGGTCACAGTATATAGCAAAAAATGGTTAGCGGTCACAGTATATAGCAAAAAATGGTTAGCGGTCACAGTATATAGCAAAAAATGGTTAGCGCGCGATGGTCGCGACTCGTCAGCATATAGCGATAGCGGTCACAGTATATAGCGATAGCGGTCACAGTATATAGCGATAGCGGTCACAGTATATAGCGATAGCGGTCACAGTATATAGCGATAGCGGTCACAGCATAGAGTAGTCTCGACGTCTGTCCCCTCCAAACCAGGCTGCAAAACTCCATCAACTCACAACCTTTTTGGGGATTGGCTCGCTCCATCGCAGGAGCCTCTCCGATCCGAAGGCCGCACCGGGGCCTAGGGCGCCAAACCTCCTCCCAATAAAATACTCAAAGCTTCTTGTTCACGTCTCTCCAAATTGAAATGCAGCCAGCGAAAGTTCAATTTGGTAGACGTCAGCCAAAGGTAACCCCTCCAGGCCGGTTCTCATCCCCAGCCTATCGCACGGCAAACGCCCCCTTCCAATCACCGTACCGGCCAGGCAAGCTGCTTAAAAGCGGAGGAACTCCCACTCTCGGCCTTCTCGAAGCCTGCAACCACCGCCTCCCCTCCTCCTCCTCTTCACCCTGCCTTCATTCTGCCTTCAATCTGCTTCCCGCTGCAAATGCCGCCACCAGTGCCTAGGTCCCGGGGGATTGGCTCGCTCCTTCGCATGGAGGCCCTCCGATCCGAAGGCCGCACCGGGGCCTAGGGCGCCAAACCTCCTCCCAATAAAATACTCAAAGCTTCTTGTTCACGTCTCTCCAAATTGAAATATAGTTGTATGTTTACATCTGTACATGTTAGCAGCATGCTAACATGGCTCTGGGACAAAACAGATGCACATGTGACTTGCTGAACCTTGTTTTCGTGCAGCGAGGGTGGATCAAGGTTTATCATGGAATTAATACTTTGTTAGTTAGTTATAAGTGCAATTACTCATGTACATTCTTGGTCTTCAAAACTGTGACTTTTTCTCTCCATCTGTGGTTTATCTCGAGGCAAGGCAAGGCAAGTTTATTTGTATAGCACAATTCATACACAAGGCAATTCAAAGTGCTGAACAAGACAAAATAGCATAAAAATCATAAATAATCACAGTACATTAAAAAGAAAGATAAAAATATAAAATCCCTCAGTTGTATGCACAGCTAAACAGAACTGTCTTTAACCTGGTTTTAAACATTGTCAGAGAGGAGGCCTGTCTCACATCTTCAGGAAGATTGTTCCAGATTTTAGCAGCATGAATCTGAAAAGCAGCCTCCCCATGTTTAGTTCTGACTCTGGGCACTAACAGGAGTCCAGTCCCTGTGCTCCTCAGAGTCCGGGCTGGTTCATATGGGACTAACATGTCACTAATATATTTTGGTGCGAGGCCATGGAGAGACTTGTAACAAGCAGAGCTGTTTTAAAGTCTATTCTCTGAGCCACAGGAAGCCAGTGCAGAGACCTGAGAACTGGACTGGACTAATCTCTGGCCTTTAACTGAAATTAAAATGTTGCATTTTTTGGTTGCTTGCTGGTTCTGGTTCTGGTTCAGTTTGGTAGAATGCTTGCGACAGCTGTGATGACATTCAGACACACTGCTATTGAAAGAATCGTCAAGCTCCAGTCGTCCTGACCCAACAGAGCATCATCAGGAGAAAGTCCTGTGATGGCAAGGTGACCTCTGCCCTCTGACCAGTTTCCCTAGTGGCATTGCGGAATGGGTCAAATGCAGAGGAAAAATGGCCCTCAATAATGTGACATTTTTGATCATTTTGTCCAACTGTCCCATCCCTGTTGGGGTCCGACACGTGTGTGAGTGACTGGTATGAGCAGGACCCATGGCACGGATCAGCAGCCACATTTCTCTCTATGAGAAGTTACTGCTGTTTCCTACCTGTCTGTGTAAGTAGACCACAGAGCCCAGCAGACGCCAGGTCCCCCCCTGCCGGTCCACATGCAGCATACGCAAGATCTGTAGAAACCGGATTCCTCTGAAACAGAAGCGTCGACCCATCAACAACGTCTGAGGACAGTGCTTTGGTTTGACTTTTGTCGTATGGGGAAAGTTCTGCGCTGGACTTGAGGAGGAGTTAAAGTCTCAGGTTGTGGGTTAGGGTTAGACAAAAACAAAAGTTGAGCAAGTTTACAAGGATAGAAAAATGTGGGAATAACATCTTTGTTATCTATTCACTTGATTAGCTTGATCAAGGATTTCAGCCTTGATGTAGTTAAGTATCCACAGATGTGTTTGGCACCAGATTATGGCTACACATGTAAGCACCATCTTCATTTACCATCTGCAGTCCTCGGTGTATGTACAGTATATGTGTGGCATAAACACAGAGAAGGAGGCGATAGACCTACCTGATGGCTGACGTGGCAAAGACCTGGCCTTTGGAACCTGCAACCAGCACCACGAGGGAGGCCACCACCACGATCAAATCTGTCAGAACCAGGAAGTAAAGGTCAGAGGACAGTATTGTGCTTCTGCGTGCAAACTATTCAACCAATCACATCTACTCTAGAGGGGTGTTCAGACCGGACCATGCAGCATTGAGTTTCAATGCGGTGTTAATGGTGACGCTCGTCCGTGCGGGTATTTGAACTTTTTACCGGACGCAGGTGTGGCAACCCATGAGAGAGCAGCAACGTGGTCACAAGGACACAAGCCGTCTGAGCAAGAAGACGAAGACACACGAAAAGAGGAAAAAACAAGAGCTAAACAAGGATTAAACCAGGGCTGACAGTGGGGGACGCTGTGCTTGTGGAGATATGCCTCCACCCTGAGTTCTCATTCTCCTCTGACTGTAAACAAGTGCTGCTGACGTGTTCGCCGATGTGGAAGTACCGGTTAATAACATAATACATCCACGTGAGCTCCGTGAGCAGATACTGCCGTAATATGATGTCTCTTGAGGATCTCAGACAGAGACGGCACAGAGCTGCACCAGCATCAAATTATGCCCACCACATTCGCATCGCAGCAGTACGTTAGATTTACTTAACTCATTCGGTGGACGCATGGACGTGCATCTGCTGAATTTCAGCCACATCGGGTGGTGATATAAACGCAGCCCATGAGGTCTAGTGACAAGTTTCTATCAGCCAAATAATAACAATTATAATAAACTATAAGCTATTCCAACAAATGCTTTCACTTTTACGCTCTCCAAACCTTCTTTGAACACTCTGGGGGGCTTAATCTAATATCAAATCAAAAAATCTTTCCATTTTGTTCCACCAATCCTTTGACGCAAAAAAAAAAAAAAAAAAAAAACAACAGTCAAACTGCAATTACTAGTAAATTACTTTTGGGGTTCTGGAGTGAAAAGTGCAGCTGCCCTCTCCCAAAACCAATAATTTACCATCTCCCTTCTTCACATTGTGGTTCAGTGTTAGCAGCTTTTTAATATTCTGTTCAAAGATTGAATCCTGAATGTACGAGAGGATTAATTAAAGGGGCAAACACAATGACTCCAAATAAAGTGGGAGAAAGAAAAGTGATTATTTTCCACAGTGGACGATTTGACCTGCTGTCTTTGGAATCAGAACAAGGAGAAAGTAGAGATTTATGTTTAAGGCTGTCTCTGAGAACTGGTTTGGACACTAATATGGTATTATGTCCTCCTTCCGAACCCTGGTGCATGAGAGCCTAATACGATTTGGCACGGTTGTCTAGTTTTGCTCACAGTGCAACACTCAAATTGAGAGCCTTGTCAAATGTGTCACGAAAAACTTTGAAAGGAAAAAGTCCACCTTCTATTTTTCATTGTTTTACCTTTTTCTCGCTTCGGGAAAAAATAATATGTTGAAGCTTTAGCACATGCTGCACAGTGGGTATAAACTTCTAGGAGGCAGATGCATATTCAATGCTTTGCTTGGTGTATAAACTAATAAGCAGAACTAAGACTAAACCAGGTCTAAACTAAGATGAAAAAAGTGAGGGCACCTTTGTAAGTAAGGAAGTAATCTTTATTTATATACCGCCTTTCACAGACCAGAGGCACAAAGCAGTTTACAATTGTTATTTTTTTTGAGCATTTGTCTCTCACTCCACACAGAGATGCGTGGTTGCCAGTACAGGAGGCGCATGCCAGACCTATTGTACATGTTTTTAGAAGCAGGGGAAACCGGAGTACCCGGAGGAAACCTACGCACACACAGGGAGAACATGCAAACTCCACTCAGAAAGGCCCTGTTCCGACCGGGATTTGAACCCAGGACCCAGAGTGCAATCCACTCAGCCACCTGTCTATCTCCAAAGCAAACTCTTCAGATTCGCCGGTACGTAGTGATTTCAAACCTGGAATACACTTTTTTCTTAGGCACATACTGATTGCCTCGCTTCTGTCAGTGTGCCCCAGGGCAGCTGTGGCTACACTAGTAGTTTTTCACCACTGTGTTTGGAGTGAATGAATAATGGCATGTAAAGTATCTTTGAGTGTCCTGAAAAGCACTATATAAAACTGACGCATTATTATAGTTATTAAAAGATGATCACCCAGATAAAGATTGTTGTTGTATATTGTTTTGCCGCTTAAACCAAACTACGAACGGATAAAATTGAGTTTCTAGTCGCTTATCGCTAACGTTGTATGTGACAAAGACATTATCCATCTATTTGACATGCATCTCGAGGTGGAAGGTGTGACAAATGGAGAGCAAAGTGAGTGGGAGGTTTATTTCAAGCTCTGTTATTTCGTACCTATTAGAGAGATGAGTTTTCGTGCAAAGCGCAGTCGGCCCGTTATCCCCACGAATTTGCTGCGGCAACCTGCAGCCCAGAGCCTGATCGCATACTCTAGGCCAAAGAACACCACCAGCACGATTTCCTGAAGAGAAAAAACACACACGGAGAGAAAAATGGATGAAGACAAATCCCCAGCTCAAGTCACGCACTTATCAAAGCGGATGTGTTCAGGTCTCGTCCTCGCTCGTTTTGTGGGTCAGTGTGTTCGTGTATTGTATGATTAGGGTTGTCAGAAGGACCACTGCTCAATTCTAACAAAATAGGCAAGGCAAGTTTATTTGTATTGCACAGGTCATACGCAAGGCGCCTCAAAGTTCTCGGAAAAACAAGATAGAAACAATCAGACAAGGAATTAAAATCCTAAATAATCACAGTACATTAAAAAGACTAAAGAGCCAAAGATAAGATACAAAATTTTAGAGTATTGAGTCTTTTTCTTAGTATGGGAATCGTGTTTGTATTTCTAGAACAGTAATTGTCACTGGCACAATGATTTGAAAGAGGAAGATCAGTTCCAAGCAGTTCCCAGAAAGTCTGAGTCAGAGTGCTGTGAAATAACACAGTTGTTCATTTCAGTTCAGTTCAGCTCAATTTACTACAAATACAAAATAAAAGCATGTAGCGTTCATTTATAATAAGTGACATTGCATATTTGTAAATGAAACGCCAGTGATGCAACGTTCACCTTACATGTACAGTATATGTTGGGACCCAAGACATAACACAGCACTAAAATATAGTATAATATTAATAATAATGCATCAGTTTTAAATAGCGCTTTCTTGGACTCTCAAAGACGCTTCACATTTCATTATTCATTCACTCCATACACTACTGTAGCCACAGCTGCCCTGGGGCAAACTGACAGAAGCAAGGCAACCAGTATGTGCTATCGGCCCCTCCGACCTCCACCAACCATTCACACACACACACACACCAGACTCATTCTAGGCAATGGGGGTGAGGTGAAAAAACTGCAGTTTGGCACTTTACAGCCGCAGCCGCCCCACTGTGGCATCAGGTTTTCCCAGAGGTTACGTGTCTTGCCAAGGACACAACGACAGCAGACATCAGTGGGAGGCGGTGGAGAAGGTCTTGTAGTGGGCTCGAAACCTTCAGGCTCAAAGACCAATGCTTTACCAACTGAGCACCGGTCACCCCCCATTTTCAAATCTGCCTATATCATACTTTTATTAGATTAAATACTGTATATTACACTGGGTAACACAAAATATTTTTTGAAAATAGTCCAGGGTTTTCCAGCTGAATTAGACTAATTTTGATGCTCTGAGGCCGAAAATGACCTTGGTTTTGCTCAATCAGGTCAGGATTATTTGTTACAGAAATATTCTTTTTAATCGATTTTGCTTAAAAAACAAATTTCTGCGGATCATCAGCTGAGAAACCCTTGACGTTTTTCCGTTTTCCTCAAGAAATAAAAGTCAACGTATCCAAAGTCATTACGTTTTTATTTACTCCATCAAATTTGATACGCAGAATTCATAATAACGTAGACGTACATAATCCGTAACGCTATGGCTGTATCTCAAAAAGTTGACCTGATAGAGCAAAATGCATGTGATATTCGGACTCAGAACACCAACATTAGTCTAAATCAGTTGAGAAACCCCTGACAATTTTTTGGCTGTCAACTTGTGTTATATGCATAGGTACACATCACATTTAGCTACAGTGCATATTGCTACAAAAATATAAAAAAAACATTTCCAGGCAAACCTTGGTGATAAATGAGTGGCTCTTGACCTGCCAGTCGCAATGATCCGTATCTGCTGAAAACTGGGACAAGAGCGTTTTGGGAAAAGAGAAGCCTCCAGTTTGGTCGTTTAAGGCGGATTCTACGTGTGATGAATTTGCACAAAAATGTCATCTTTGCCTGATTTGTTGGAGGACTTTGTGCTCTGGCCTTTAAAAACGTCAATCACACATTGACTTCAACTTTGGCGCGGTGTTACAGTAGAGCCAGAAGTGTTATGGATATTTTGAAGCAATTGTGGGTAAAGCTGAACTCATCAGTATGCAGGAGCCAGTGAGTTTCCACTTGAATATTTTAGTTATCTGAAGGTTGACCTTTGGTGGCAGGCTTTGAGATGAGTGTGTTTTGTATAAAGCCCTCTGCATTCTGTAAAACTTTGGTCTTGTCGTTTTAACATAATTCAAACATTTCTACCTGTGACATGATCCCAGACAGTGTCTTTTTCTTCAGTGTTATAAGTTACATAGAACTGTTCACATTGTTAAAAAGCAAGGTGGAATGTGATGTGACGATCTTAAGAGTGAGTAAGATCGTCTATACTATATAACTATAGTTGAATATTGTGACAAAATAAAAAAAATGAACTTCGAGAATGATTCACATGTAATTTCAACACAGTAGGGTTTAAATAAGTATCACAGCATTTACATTACTGCGTGTAGAAAAATAAAATAAAAACAAACTTTGAATTCAAAGATTTAACTCAACTGAAAGAACTTAATTACATCACTGTGGGCTTTTCCAGAAATATGAACAGTAAGCAGGCAATCTTTCAGTGAAGCAAAGAGAGAGGGGAGGGGTTAGTGAGTGTTTTCGGTGAGCTTCGGTGAGTCTTGGTCTTGTCCGTCTCTTGCCATTAGTGTTAAAGACACAGAAATTACTACATTGGTTTTTTAAAAATCGACACCCGTTGGAGAAATATATTTTAGCAAAATAGAGACTCCATTTGTTCTCCTCTTGACAGGAGCAGTTGCACATCTGTACACACCACAGAAAACAAGCATTATGACTCAAAATCAGTGAACTTTAAATGGTTGTTAAGGGGGATATTTACTTCCTGTCCCTTGGAGGACTCTCACACCACTGCTTGACGTCAGCTGCAATCCAGTAATAGATCGACCAAGGCTTAGAAGGTTTTTTTAATGACAAAAAAAGTAAAGAAAGCTAGATGAAAGCTGCTTAATTATCACATGTTTCGGCAGTAGTCTACGTCAGAGGGGACACGTGATTGTGTGACTGGTCTCTTATCAGCTTTTGTTGCCAAATGTGGTCAGTCTGACAGATCTCATAGATCTGTCAGACTGACCTCTTTCCCTGCTGCGTTGTAGTCTCTGGAGAATTGAATCCCAAGTGTGAGGCAAGGTGAAAGGCCCCTCGTCTCTGTTAATGGTCTGCACGCCCCGTTTCCTGAGTTCAATGGCCTCTCGTATTCATCTTTTGTATTTACGTTCTTCTGTTTGTACTATTTTTGCACTGTCCCAGTCTGTTATGTTATGTCCTCTTTTGCAGTGGTCCGATATTGCCGATTTGAGATTTTATTGTGTTGACCGCGTCCCCCAGTAACAACAGCTAAGAAAAGACACGTGCACCTCTGACAAAGGTGGAAGTCTACTGCCAAAACATGTGGTAATTAAGCAGTGCTCGCTTTCTTTACTTTTTTGTCTTATTAAAAGAACCTTCTAAGCCTTAAACACAAGAAGACAAAATTAACTTTTCACATTTAATGGATCGATGAGTTGGGAGTTCAGTTTCAAACTTCAAGGGTTGGCAATTTATATTCACAATGCAGTAACCTCCGAGTAGTCTTGTCTTGCTCTGCTTTTTCTATCTCTAATAAGACGTCTTAATTACTCGTTGCATTTCTCCCCAATTAATTAAGTGTGCACACGGCAGCAGCTAACTCATTAACAGTCTCCGTCTGCATCTGGAACTAACCATAACCTTCTTCAATTAGAGAGGAGAGCTCCCCCTGCACACGGGACTACCACACATCGATTTGTGCTTCACTGATGAATGAAAACAGCCAGGGGTCGAGGAACAACATTAGTGAGTTAGTAACCAACCTGTATTTATAGATCAGCTGCCACAGAGATCGGGGCAAGGCACATCACATACAAAATACATACAACAGACACAACATGCCTTAACGCACTAGAATGGGAATAACCTATAATTGCATTTCTCTTGTATGAACTGTTTGATTCTCGGATCTGTGTCGGTGAATTCAACGGTTTTGTAAAGTTGAGAAAAATACTGTTGTGATATTGGGTTATGAAAGAATAAAATGGAATTTAATTGAATTGAACCTAACATCTGGAACAGTCTCCCTGAAAATGTAAGAGAGGCTTCTTCTCTGACAATGTTCAAATCCAGGTTAAAGACGGTTCTGTTTAGACTCAATTATATTCAACTTTACTTTAATTACAAAGTCAGAACGATGCAACCCTAACCCAATTTAGCATCTAACCAGTCGTGCAATAGCACAAGTATAGGATCACATTTACAACGCAGATACATATACAGTATTTGCAAATATGTGAGACTGTACAAAGCTGCTATTGAAGTATACATTTATTATATTACATTACATTTAAGTGCATCTAATGGGCTTTAACAGGGTGAGAGTTCAGGAGTGTGATTGCTTTGTGATAAAAAATTGTCTCTTAACCTGCGGGTTCTTGCTTGGAGGCTCCAGTAGCAGCGACCAGAGGGCTGGAGGCTAAACAGTCTGTATACAGGATGAGAGGAGTCCTTCACTATGTTACGAGCCCGTCGCAGAGCACGCTGGCCCTGGATGCTCTCTGCCACAGTACAGTTCCCATACCAGGTTGTAATGCAGTTTGTTAAAATGCTATTTATCGCAGAGCGATTGAAATGGGACATTGCGGACAGGGACATGTGATTCTTCTTGTGATTTCTCAAGAAGAAAAGGCGCTGGTGGGCCTTCTTGATGGTGCTGGAGGTCTTGATGGTCAAGGACAAGTCCTCAGATATGTGGGTTCCCAGGAACCTGAAACCATAAACCCTCCCATTCATGTAGATGGGGTTGTGTTCTCTTCTCTACTCCTCCTGAAGTCCACTATAAGTTATTTGGTCTTGCTGGTGTCGAGGTGCAGGTTGTTATCAGTACAGTATGTTGGATCTCCTCCAGGCCGTCGTTGTATTAGTTATGTTTATTTATTTTACTTCGATACACCAACACAGTTCACCAGAGGAATTGTCAATAATCATTTCTGGAATTTCTGGCACATTGAGGATTTATGTTCTTGATTTGGTGGATAGAGTAAATAACTGCAGGCGTCTCATTT